TGTATGGATTGTGATAGAGTTGTATGAGCTCTGTTTCTGAACTGGTGGAAAGATTCAAGTTTTAGTTCTCTTCTTGCTACTAGATAGTTTATTGGTAAAGCAGTAAACCCTTTTTAAAAAGCAGTGGGAAGGGAGATCTAGAGGTGCCAACCTTCCTTAGAGGCCTCATCTGAGGGTAGTGTGAATGGCCAGGGACTAAGCCTTCGTGGGAAGTGTGTGGAGTTTTGCATTTGCAGGAAGTGCCCTAGGCTTTCTTCCCAGCATATTTCTGTCAAGCAGCTAGCTTGTTACTCTGTGGCTGCTCCAGCCAAGCGCAGCCCTTCCACTTGTGCAATGCCTTCTCTTTCCCGACTCTAGTCTTCTGCGCCAGCTTTTCCCACCCTCCTCTTCTTCCTTCCCCCAGTGCTCAGTATTCAGACATGGTGTAATTGTTTCAGTCTTACACAAAATCGAAAATTCCCCCCTTGACCCCACAACCTTCTCTGTTAGTACTATATGAGGGGTACTCAAAAGAAATCCCAGAATTTTTTTCAAAGCTATTATGTATTTACCGCATGTATTCGTGTATAAGCTGGATTTTCCAGCACATTTTAATGCAGTTTTTGTGATAAAATTAGGTATCTCGCTTATATCCGGGTTGGCTTATACTCAAGTATATATGATAATTTTCTTTTACAAAACAACCTTATTACCTTTAGACTACTCTCCATTATGCTTAATACATTTGTCAAATCTATGATTCCATGCTTGGAAACATTTTCCAAACTCATCTGTTTGGATGGCTGACAGCACCTCCTTCGTTTCTTTCTTTACCTCTTCTGCATCATCAAATCACCATCCTTTCATGTCCGTCTGCATTCATGGAAACAAAAAGAAGTTGCATGGAGTGAGGTCAAGTGAGTAAGGTGTGTGGGACAAGAGAGGCATGATGTTTTTTGCCAAAAACAGGCACACAGATGGCTGCGTGAGCAGGTGCATTGTCATGGTGGCAAAACCAGTCCCCATCTGCTGTAAATCAGACCTTTTTTGTCTCACACTGTTACGTAATCTTTTCAGAACTTCTAAATAGAAAGCTTGATTAATAGTCTGACCTGGTGCAATGAACTCCAAATGCACTATCCCCCTCATATCACATTTTTTTGGGGGGAGTACCCCCTCGTATTTTTTGCTCCCCTTTAAAGTAACACTCTTCTTAAGAGACTCTGGATGTTTACATACTCTCTGTATTTCCTCCCACCCCCAGTGTGCATGCAGAAACTGAGGCCCAGGTTGTGCCTGCCAGGGCAGGGTGAGGGCTGTAGAGTCCCAGGGCAGCGGCTGCTGGGGGAGCTGCAGTCAGGTAGTGGGGAAGGTGGTCACGGGGCCCAGCTGCTTCTGGTGGTAGGCCAAGGCTTTCATGGAGATACTGTACTACCACAGGCCCGGAGGCCATCCCCCAGCCACTGGGCTGTGGCTCCGCCAGCCTGTGTCCCCACCATGGCCCCTCATGGAGGTGGGCATGTTTGCAGGAGTCCTGAGGTATGTACCTGAGAGCTGGTTCCCGCAGGAGGAGTAGCACACAGTCAGCCAGGGTCCACAGCAAGACGACGTGAGCTGAGCAAGGTCTCTTGCCTTGTCCTCTGTGATGATGGGAGAGCCCAGCTCCAGGCCTTGGTCTCCTTTCCTTCCCAGCCGTACTTCCTGGGTGCTCTCATTCATTCTCTTTCATTCCTTCATGTCCCACTTGCGTGGGGCAATCCTCAAACTCCTATCTTCAGCCCTGACTCCTCTCCTTCAACTTTCAGACTCCTACGGAACATTGCCCCTTGATTATCTTAACGGGTATCTCAAACGTTACTGAACTTCTGTTGCTCCTCCCTGACGCTCTCCCTGGTCTGTGTTCCTCATCTTGGCACAGGTAAACCAGCTGCTCCATTTTGTAGTTGCTTAGGCCAAGATGTTGGCATTGCCCTTGACTTTCATTGTGCAGAGAGGCTCTTGAGAATATGCCTGGAATCTAACTGCTTGCTCTAACCTTTACCTCTACCACCCGGTACAGTCAGCCATCACATAGCTCCTGTTCTAATGCAGGACCTTTCACCTAGCCTTCCTGCTTCCATATTTGCCTTCTCTGTTCTAGAAGCACATAGCCATCAGCGTTCCACATAAAGCATGATAGCGCCTGCCTTTTCTCTGCCCCAAACTCTAATGGCTTCCCATCCAAGTCAGGGCAAAGGAAACGGATCTCATCTCCTTCTGCTTGGCTCCTGTCTGGTCGATTCCCCAGCCACTGCACACTGGGCCTTTGCATGCATTCCAGCACCTTCCTGAAACCGACTTTCTCCGTGAGAATGTGGAAGGTGTGTTCCGCACTGTCTCTAAATGTCTCCTTCATGTGTAGCTTCTCGGTGAGGCCTTGCCTGGCTGCTCATCCTGTGTTAACTCCAGCCCCAGCACTCCCTAGCATTCGTAGCTTACTCTGTTTTTCTTCACGGCTTGTGTCATCATTTGTCCCCCTTTGACATAGGCTCTCATTTCTCCACTGCTCTGTTCCCCAGTGCCTGGATTAGGACCTTGCTCTCAGTCATTGCTCAAGGAAATCTGAATGTTACATGAATTTTTAGAAATTGGTAGAAAAGTAATTGGAATGGGTTTTTCTCTTTCTTTGTTACCCAGTGATCCTAAAATTTCCCCTCTGACTTATTTAATAGTAGTCCCGGATTGGAAGTGTTCACTGAGCCAGACACATGAGGGTTTTGCAACTCTGGTCCAGCCCTTCCTTTTATTAGTGATGAAATAAATTCCCTGAGATGTCGTGTGTTTCCCCTAAACTTGCGGCCAGTTAGTGAGATAGCCAAAACTAGGCTCCCAGTCAGGGGGCGATGTAGCAACGATGAAAAATACAACTTTCCTCTAGTTCCTAATTGTTTCCTCCCTGCTCCCACTACCATGATATGAATTCTACCTTGCAAGTCTGGCTAGACCAGAGGATGTACACTGGTACAGATAGGAACTGGAAATCCAGGGAATCCAGGGCAGATGAGCCCTACAGGACCAGTGGTGTGAGTGGCGATACTGGGAGGGTAGAGGGAGAATGGGTTGGAAAGAGGGAACCGATTACAAGGAACTATATGTGACCTCCTCCCTGGGGGACGGACAACTGAAAAGTGGGTGAAGGGAGATGTCAGACAGGGCAAGATATGACAAAATAACAATTTATGAATTATCAAGGGCTCATGAGGGTTGGGTAGCGGGGAGGGAGGGGAAATATTAGGATCTAATGCCGGAGGCTTAAGTGGAGAGGAAATGTTTTGAGAATGATGAGGGCAATGAATGTACAGATGCGCTTTACACAATTGATGTATGTATGGATCGTGATGAGTTGTATGAGCCCCTAATAAAATGATTAAAAAAACAACACTAGGCTCCACCCACGTCTCTTAGATCGCAATCCATTTCTCTCTTCACCACTCGCTGATACCATAATAGGGGGCCACACTTCACGAGTTGATTCTTTGTGGAAACAAAAGCAGCTGAAAATAAATTTATGAGGAGTAGGGATAGAAATAGAATGATCTTTTTTAGCAGATTAGTGAGACTTAAGTTAGTGAAACCCACTGACAAGTGATTAATTTAAAACCATACCCCCCTGTGGCCCTTACACTGTACTTAAGTCCACTTCCCATTGTTTTCATGTGTGCTGCCAGATAGGTAAAGATGGAGGGCTTTCTTTTATTCATGTTTTATGTGTTGCTTTTTTGGTCGCAGGTGCACATGAACTTGAACAGATGCAACTGATTCTAGAATCTATTCCTGTTGTCCATGAGGAAGACCGCCAGGAGCTTCTCAGCGTCATTCCAGTTTACATTAGAAACGACATGACTGAGCCACACAAACCTTTAACTCAGCTGCTTCCAGGAATTAGTCGAGAAGGTACTGGGATACAAGAGTAACTCTCACGTTGGTGTCTGTGTGGTGGGTGGGTAAATGCGTGCATGTGTGGAATCTTTTCATCATGTGTTCTTCTCCCAAATAGTCTTGAGCTACTAAAGATATGCCTAAGACCTCAACTCTCACTTCCTCTCTTCTGTGTCCTGGTCCTTAGTTTGGGATCTGTCTCTTTGTTCCTCTGAACCAGTTTACCAGACTCCAGAATACGGACCCCTCCTTCCTGGTTCTAATCTCCTTGACTCTGACCTCCTCTATAGACTGGATGCCTCTGGGTGGACGCCCGGGGCGCGCATATTGAAGCAGGGGCGCTCACCAAATGAGTGGGGTTCTGTGAGGATGTGAAAGCGATTTAGAAGTGAGATGTCATGGGGAAAACAAGGGCTTCAGAGCAAGGGAGAGGGAGTGGGAGGAGCAACAAGCATATGAGTAACTCCACTCATTCACCTGAGCAAAGTAGACTCAGGTGAGGAGGACTTGTAGCTCTGGCTCGTTATCGCAAAGTCTTTTAAAGTAGGAAGACGTAGGCTCGGTGGGCATTGTTAGGTGGAAAATGCTTAGGTTTTTCTTCAACTGCATGATTTGAATGTAGTTTGGGGATTTTCCTCATCTAGGTATGCAGAGTTTCATATTTATCTAGAACATAGTTACAATTTTACCTAGTACACCTCCAGCTGTCAAGGCGATGGGTGTTATAATCCTTGAGTGGGAGGTTTTAGATTGAGAGGGAGGTGCTGCTTGACTCCCACCGATTGCGGGAGACAGAACGTGGAGTCTCTACATAGAAGCAATAAGGGGATACTATCCATTGTGGAAATTGTAAAGTCCGAAAGGGTGACAGATAGTATCATCATGATAGGAACAGAGTGTCTGTTAACACTTTATTTACACAACCGCTGAAGACAAAGCAGATGAATAAGCAAATGTGAAGAAAGCTGATGGTGCCCGGCTATCAAAAGATATAGATAGCGTCTGGGGTCTTAAAAGCTTGAAGGTAAACAAGCAGCCATCTAGCTCAGAAGCAACAAAGCCCACATGGAACAACATATCAGCCTGTGTGATCATGAGGTGTCGAACGGATCACTGAAGACAAATGGGTGCATAAGCAAACGTGGCGAAGAAAGCTGATGGTGCCCGGCTAGCAAGAAGTATAGCATCTGGGGTCTTAAAGGCTTGAAGGTAATCAAGCGGCCATCAAGCTCAGGAGTAACAAAACCCACATGGAAGAAGCACACCAGTCTATGCAACCACGAGGTGTCGAAGGGGTCAGGTATAAGGCATCATCAGAACAAAAAAAATCTTACCATAGTGAATGATGGGGGGAGTGCAGAGTGGAGACCCAAAGCCCATTAGTAGGCCACTGGAGATCCCCTTGCAGAGGGGTTTCAGGGGGCTGGTGGGGAAGATGAGCCAGTCAGGGTGCGATGTAGCAGCAATGAAAAATACAACTTTCCTCTAGTTCCTAAATCTTTGCTCCCCGTTCCCACTATCATGACACAAATTCGACCTTGCAAGTCTGGCTAGACCAGAGGATGTACACTGGTACAGATAGGAACTGGAAATATAGGGAATCCAGGGCGGATGATCCCTACAGGACCAGTGGTGTGAGTGGCGATACAGGGAGGGTAGAGGGAGAGTAGGTAGGAAAGAGGGAACCGATTACAAGGAACTATATGTGACCTCCTCCCTGGGGGACGGACAACAGAAAAGTGGGTGAAGGGAGACATCGGATAGGGCAAGATATGACAAAATAACAATTTATAAATTATCAAGGGTTCATGAGGGGGGTACGGGGAGGGAGGGGAAAAATGAGGACCTAATGCTCGGGGCTTAAGTGGAGAGGAAATGTTTTGAGAATGATGAGGGCAATGAATGTACAAATGTGCTTTACACAATTGATGTGTGCATGGATTGTGATAAGAGTTGTATGAGCCCCTAATAAAGTGATTTAAAAAAACCAAAAACACTTTATTTTCAAATGTGGTAAAGACTTTAAAACTCTGTTTTCATTTACTATCCTGTCTTAGTCAAGTTTCTCCTTTTGTCCCTCAAATGTGGATCGTTGGCCCCCTCAAACTGGGCTTCAGTCAAGAATCACTTTAGAAAGTGGTTGTGATGTCTCTCTCCCTGTGCTTTCTCCCCACTAACGTTACGTTTTGAAGAGAGCAGCCTTATACATGGTCCCAAGGTCTGGATCTGATTTTGTTTTCCCGTCTGGTGTTCATTTGTTCTGTTTTCTCATTTTCTGTAAATGGTAAGTTGACTCTAAAGGCCATGTTGATTTAGATTAGACTTTTTAGTCAAAACCTTTCCTAGGTGAGTAGACAGACGGTGAGCAGGTAGTAAAGGTCAGTCGGTGTGTCTCAGAGTCTGCTGTGAGAACAGACTAAGATTCCCCAGTATGAATCTGAAGTCAGAATCGGAGACTTGGCTCTCTTCAGTGCCATGTCTGTGGTTAGGGAGCAGAGCTAGTAGATGGTGTAGCTGCTCCTGGCATGGGGGTTGTTGGCGGGTCATGAGGAATGGGAGCGTGCAGGTAGTGTAGTGCCAGGGCAACCTTCGGGTTGGTGACGTGGTTCAGGAGCTCTAGGAAGACCTTCCAGACTGAGCTAGTGGGAATAATTAATTGAGTGTATGGCTGTCCCACCAGGGCCCTTAAATGATCAGGTCCAGTATGTGAACCCTGCTGGAGTATGGCTGATGTGAGATAGAAAGAAAGAGCTTATTGACAGGGAGGGAGGGGGAAAAGGACTTTAAATATGTCCTAGGACCCTATGCTTAAATTTAATCTTTATGCCTTCATAGTTATATGTTTCTTATCTGCATTTGATACATGAAACTGAAGTTCAGCAAGAGTAAGAAACTGTTCAGGCCTAGCTAGTCAATCAGTTCAGCAATGGAGTTGCAAAGCTGGGGTTCCCCATCGCTGTTGCACCTGAGTGGATTCCAGCTTGGGTGAACCTACGCTGCGCTGCACAGGAGCACCACGCCGTAGGACTGGCAGGGTTTCAGGCCTGCCTTCCACGCTGTCATCGAGTGATGCAGACCTTTCCGTTAGCAGCTGACTGCAAACAGTGTGCACCACAGTGATTGAAACTGCCGTTATTAGACCATTTGACAAAAATAGCAGCTTCTGGTGCTCACCTGAATGGATCTGATTATAAAATGCCCTTTCCCCCCTTTTTGTTTACAACTGGCAAGAATATGAGATTGGGGTACATTTTAAACTATTTACTCTTTGAGTAAAAACCTTTTTAAAAATCTGTAAACCAGATAAGTTTGTTTTATTTCTCGGGGAAAGCTCAAATGAACCCACCTTTGAATTGTCTAGTCTTTTAAAAAAATACAGGTTGATGGCAATTCTGGTTGTGTAGTGTGAAGTGGAAAGGTCATCCCTTAGCTGATCCGTTAAGGGAATGAGACTAAGGTTGTCCGTCTTCTAAATATTAGCAGTCATTTCTTAGAAAGTCTCGCCTTTCCTTCTGCAGCACTGGGCTTCCTGGAACAAATTTTGACCTTCAGTCCCATGGACCGGTTGACAGCAGAGGAAGCACTCTCCCACCCTTACATGAGCATCTACGCGTTCCCAACGGACGAGCCGATCTCAAGCCACCCCTTCCACATTGAAGATGAAGTCGATGATATTCTGCTAATGGATGAAACGCATAGTCACATTTATAACTGGGAGAGGTACGTGAATCCTGAAAGGGAAATGGTGTTCGTTAAGTTTCCTCTGTCCCATACCGTAATCAGCTCTGTTTTTAATAGTATGTGATAGGGCATTGCAGAAGTCTTAAAACTAAAGTATGGTCCTCTTGGGCTTCTGGTTCAGTTCTTCTTAAGATCTTTGAATAGGCCTGGGGGATTGAAAGGGTTACTAGTTAGAATAAGCACCAACAGGGAAAGTTGAATGAATGCTGCTTAGAAACATTTTCAAAGTCATCAAGGCATGTTTAGCTAATAAAAGTTAAATGTTCTCTATAAATGTGAGGATTTGAAGGTTTGACATCTGAAATGTTCTAAACTATTGCTTTTATTCATGTGAAAATGTTAAGATACCTAGTAAAGGATCGGTCTAGTGCTCGGGTTTCTACTCTGTTTTGAGGGTAGAAATGGCTGTGGTCAAGGAGCCCGGGTGGCACAAGGGCTACCTGTTGGCCAGCAGTTGGCTGCCCCAGCCTCTCCAGTGGGAGAAAGAGGTGGCATGTGTCCACCTCACCTTCTGGCTTTTGCAGGTCTGCCTGTAACCATGGAGAGAGCTCTTTTTCTCTTCGTGGGCTTGAATTCCAGAAGGACTTCTTCTCGGCCCTGTCTGCCTGGTTACCAGTAGAGGGAAAACTTGTCAGATACCCGACTGAGGTTAGAGATCTGCATTTTGTGGCCACACAACGGATTTTCTCCGTGTGGAACTGTTAAGACTTGAACTGCGGACGTGTGAGCCATCCAGATACTTGTTAGCAGCTGTGACTGAGGTAGATGAAAATTAGGATGGAGAGAGAACAAGTGTGCAGTGGCCACTGGTCCTGTAAGAAGGGAGTACTTCAGGGTTTGTCACGATATCACCGTATACACCGAGTTTTCCAGCACATTTTTAATGTGGTTTTTGTCTTAAAATTAGGTGGTGCCTCGATTGATATTCGGGGTGGCTTATATTTGAGTGTGTATGGTATATACTTCATTGACAGTTACCAAATGCTGCCTTTCTGTGTGGCTCTGTATAGTAACCGATCTTACCTTTCACTACATCCGTTTCTGGAAGGCAAGGCAGGCTCACGGCTCACGGCTCACCCAGTGCGTTCCCATACAGGGGCTCCGTGAATTGGATTTGGAAACCATGCTCGTGTATTCATTTCTTTCAGGTGCCATGATTGCCAGTTTTCCGAGCATGACTGGCCCGTCCACAACAACTTTGACATTGATGAAGTCCAGCTCGATCCCAGAGCTCTGTCTGATGTCACCGACGAGGAAGAAGTGCAGGTCGATCCGCGGAAATACCTGGATGGAGATCGTGAAAAGTATCTGGAGGATCCAGCTTTTGATGCCAGTTACTCGGCCGAGTGTTGCTGGCAGGACCCAGACTACCATGAAAACAAATACTGCGACCTGGAGTGCGGCCACACGTGTGACTACAAGACGAGGGCCGCCTCCTACCTGGACAGCTTAGTGTGGCGAGAGAGTGAAGTCAACCACTACTATGAGCCCAAGCTCATCATCGATCTTTCCAACTGGAAAGAGCAAAGCAAAGACAAGTCAGATAAGAGAGGCAAGTCGAAGTGTGAGAGGAACGGACTGGTCAAAGCCCAGATCGCCCTCGAGGAAGCGTCCCAGCAGCTGGCGGAGAAAGAGAGGGAGAAGAGCCAGGGGTTTGATTTCGATTCCTTTATCGCAGGCACTATTCAGCTTAGTTCACAGCATGAGCCTACCGCTGTCGTTGATAAATTAAATGACTTGAATAGCTCAGTGTCCCAACTAGAATTGAAAAGCTTGATATCTAAGTCAGTAAGCCGAGAAAAACAGGAAAAAGGGATGGCAAACTTGGCGCAGTTAGAAGCATTGTACCAGTCTTCTTGGGATAGCCAGTTTGTCAGTGGAGGGGAGGACTGTTTTCTCATTAACCAGTTTTGTTGTGAGGTACGGAAGGATGAGCAGGTAGAGAAGGAGAACACGTACACCAGTTACTTGGACAAGTTCTTTAGCAGGAAAGAAGATGCTGAAATGCTAGACATAGAGCCGGGGGAGGAGGGGAAGCTCGGCGGGAGAGGGCACGAGGAGGGGTTTCTGAACCACAGCGGGGAGCTTCTCTTTAACAAGCAGCTCGAATCCATAGGCATCCCGCAGTTCCACAGTCCAGTGGGGTCCCCACTGAAGTCCATCCAAGCCACACTAACACCGTCTGCAATGAAGTCGTCCCCGCAGATTCCTCATAAGACGTACAGCAGCATTCTGAAACATCTGAACTAAAATGCGCAGCAGACATTTCTCTCTGTATTCTTCATGAAATGCGTTTCGTCTTTTTTTATTACTAGTGTTTTAAGTCTTTTTTCTGACTTGAATCAGACGGTGTTATTTTAGTCAGGATTCCTTAGTTGTTGGTTTTTACAATTCAGACTTCGTTTCTACACGTGAGGTAGTTTTCATTGTAACTGGCACGTCGTTTGCACACACACGAGAACAGGGCAAAGGACGCAGTGCAGGGGAGACAGTGCACTGAAACGAGCGCAGGCTCCTCTCCTGGAGCAGTGCTGCCTGTCTGACAGGAAACAAAATCTTGCCTTGAAACTTACACAGTGAGACTGTACATAGCTGCATGGAAATATCTATTTTTTTTCCTAAGACATTTTTCATTCATGAGTATTTTCAAGTTTTTCATACTGTACACATTTCTTAAAACACATGATACCAGCAGCAACTGAAAACGAATGGCGAATTTGGTACCCATGTGTTATCTACCTCAAGGTAACAAGAGTTTGTGGCGAGACATATACCACCCACAGTGCTTCACAATATGCACTTCTACGTAGCCAGCGTTTATTGTAGTCAGCTCCTCTTATAAATGTTCTGGTATGCATTCTTTATAGTGAAGTGTTAATTCATCACATCTTATTTATTTTAGCAAGCCAGTCTTATGTCCTGTATTTAATTATAGAAAGTTACCTTAGTTGATGAAGTGTATTTGCAAACACACACTCCCTCCACCCAATTCGGCACTCTGCTTTGTTGCCCACCGAGCTGCATCTCTCAGGGCAGCTTGTCCGAAGGTTGTCCACGCACTCACTTTTGCTCAAGTGTTCATTTTAAGTCAAGTGCTCACTGTGTATAGGAATTTGTATTTTGGAGGTGCTTGATCTATCTACAAAGAAAAATTAGGAATTACTTTATTACAAATGCTCCTAGAAGTCTTAATTGTGTTTATTTTTAAACCAAACCAAACCAAACCTGTAATGTTAGACTTGTGTGCATGGAAGTAACTAAGGTACATCATTATTGTAGTTTGAAAGTTGTACATAAGACATATTTTGTTTTTACTGAATGATCTATTTCCCCATCCCAAGGCAAGCATGAATAAAATTAGGTTAAATGTAGCATGTGACATCTTGGTCTCTTAGAAATTTGTTTCATCTATTTTATTTTATGGAATACTGTCTGTATCTTTGGTTATCCTGTTTGAAGAAAAAGGACAAATAAAACATGGCCAGCAAATACGGCTCCTGTTTCACTACTTTGGTCACGAGACCTCTCTGCTGGATTGAAGCCAATGTAAGGGGGATCTCTCTTTAGTTCCACTTTCCAACTTTTTTGAATTGTGGCTGTATTTAATTTTGCTAGGCTGAAAGGCTTAGAAGAAAAAGATTCTTGTCTCCATATAGAAATCCCTTGGCTTGACTTACCTTCACACATTTAAATGGAGTAAGGCCTTGGTCTGCTACTAGTCTGTTCTGTAGAAAGTGTGGGGGCAGCTGTGAACTGCTCCCAGAACCCGGCCTCCCTCCGCAGTGCGCCTTTCCTCCACCTCAGAAACCATCCTCTTCCGGTTTTCATTGTCCTTCATCTAGTCAATTCTTTCCATGTTTTTAGACTTCTCTCTTCTCAAGGAACCATTGATTGGTTTTAAAAAAAAATCTTTTTAAATGCAGGTATTTTCTGGACGAACAAGACCTCTGTTAGACCTTGTGCATTTCAACATCAGGTCTGGTTACCTTGAGAAGGCACGCTCTAAGGTGTAGTGATGAGAGATTGATCTGTGGGGGGAGAGATGTGGGAGGCATTAGAGAGCTGGGCAGGCTGCGCGTGGGGAGGGCATCGTGCATGTGGGAGGCCAGGGAAACACGGGTGGCACTACTTTTGTCAGAACCCTTTCTGCTAAAACAGATTGTTCTGAAAATCCCAAGTCCCTTTGGAATGTGGAAGACTGGACCTGAGAGGCCCAGGACTCCCTACTGGGAAATCTGTAATCGGTGTTTATCTCTTCATTTGGGCAGTTTCATGACTATATGCATCAACGGCCTGACTTTTCTTAGTATGACTTAAGCTTTTTCCATCAAATAAAGAATTAGAATGTAAATCCTTTGACTCCCTACCTGTAAAATAATGCCTGGTCTTGGTGGGCCCAAGCCAGGTATTAAGTTGTAAAATCCAGAAAAAATCTCTCTTCCACTGCCAGAATGTAAATGCTTTCCTCTGCCTATGAAGACAATGTGCTTAAAAAAAGAGAGAGAAAATAATCAGGGCCTGGGGGCATGGTTTGGGCTCTATGAAGGTTTCCTGAGACAAGGAAATACAGGTGACAGGGCAAGGGACACGAACTCTGTTAATGGACAATGAACTGTCAACACCGTGGCATGACCTTTCAATGAACTGTCAACACCGTGGCATGACCTTTTTTTTTTTTTTTCTTTAAAGAACGCGCTTTTTTCCAATGACGCACTCTTGAGTGAGCGTTTCAGCTGTCACACAACTTTCAGACTTTGGGGCAACTTGTGCCATTCAATTGGCCACCGCTCTGACCGAAGGGCCCAGGATCATACTTTGAGGAGAGACTGCTGACGCTTAAGTTGTAGGCTAAGTTTGGACAGAACCAGCCCATCCACTTCCTTTTCTGGTTGCTATTTAAAATGAGTGTTGAAGCCAACAGGAAAAGTGCGTGGGGTGATTTTTAAGAACGCTCTGCACCCCCTTGTTGGGTCAGCTGGCCTACAGTTGATTTGAAGCTCGTAAACACCTGCAGCTGAAATGGAAATCCTCTTTCTTCTCACAGAGACGCTTGCCTGAATTTGGTGGGGTAGTCCCAGGCCTAGTTTTAAAATGTCAGGAGGCGTAATTGTATTTGTAACTTAAATTCTCAACACAACTCTGACCCATCCTACAGGGGTCCTCTACCTTGTTTGCACACAGCCACCTGTTCATCTGGTGGGAGTTACAAATGCTTCGGACGGCTGGAAGAGCCGGGCCATGCAATGTCACGTCACCACAGACTCATGTCCCAAGTGGTGCCCTGTGGTAGCCTTGGCAGGAGGAGGCCCATTTCTTCAGATTCACACATTCAGACAAGTCCTTAGCTAGTGGCAGCATGTACTGACACCTGGGATAGCTTTTCTAGAAACCTGAGAGGCAGAAAATGATGGTGGGTGACCTATGTCCCGAACAGGTCACTAAACAGGTTACAAGTGACATCTAGGTGGTTTCAAACTTGCACGCCTACAAACCCCTTGGCCATGAGGATTCTTCCAAACGGGTGAGAGTCAATATCTAGAAGCAGAATTGGTGGGTCACTGAGAATGTGTCAAGGCTGAGATGTGTACTCTCCCAATTGGCCCCCATGCACACTCCCACCCCAGTGCATGCGAGTTCCTGCTGATGCACAGCCTCCCAAGCGAGAAGCCAAGTCTTTCCCACCTAGTCATCTTACCAACTTGCTGTGGTTGGCTTACTTTCCAGGAGAAATCCAGACGGTCTGATTCCCAACAATTGCAGGCAGGCAGGCGTGGCTCCGCCTGACGGATCCTTATGCAGTCACTGATGATGAGGGAGCCTTGTGTACGTAGTTCCTCTTGCTCACTGTAGCTTGGGAGCAGGTTAAATCTCAAGACTGGGCCAGCAGCGACGTCATTTATGGTGCAGTCCACGTCTGAAGAGGGAGAGTATGATGCAGCAAATGATGCTTTCAAAATGAAACCCAGTATGCCATCGCTTTTGATTCTAGGTTAGAAACCTATGCAGCGTGACACCATATACAGCTAATGTCCTAAGTGTCCCTTTTCCCATAGGCTGTGTTGTTGGGTGCCGTGGAGCTGGCCCTAACTCAGCAACCCTCTAGGACAGGACGACACACTAGCCCGTCGGCACCGTCCTCACAATTGCTCTTTGGGAGCTCCTGGGAGCAGCAACTGCGAGACATACTATCCCTTGGAGGGTCTTGCTCTGTTTTGCTAACCTGATTGGGTTGCTGTGAGTCAGAATGGGCTCGATGGCAGGATGTCTTTTCCAAGAACTGCCCTCTCCAGAGTACGTGAGACCAAGTCTTGCCCCCCTCGCTGCTAAGGAGCCTTCCGGCTGTACTTCTTCCAGGATGTCGTTGTTCTGCATAGGACTTCCAATATTCTTTGCCAGCATCATAATTCAAATGCACAGTTAATTTGTGGGCTGGTTGTCAAGTTCATAGATGAAACCGTTCAGTCCATTCCTAATCGGAGCCCTGTCTGCTCCAATCTACTTTTGAAATCAGAACCAATCCAGCTCCATCCTGGTATGGCTCTCCCATGCATAGGATAGCACAACAGCCCTGTGCCCGTTCAGACTAGGTTTGCTCAGCATTCACATCTAGAATCGCTCATGAAAAGCATGAGGGTAGAGCAGAAAGTGGACTGAACAGGAAGTGAGAGATGGGAATTCTAGACCCAGTTTTACCATCAAGTTTCACTTAGCTCGATGAGCTCATATTCTTTATCCAAATGGGACATATTTCTTGAGTGTCACCAAACAGTCTACGAGGGACTTCTGAGCAGAACAGTGCCTTGTCCAGTTCTAACCAAATAGTTACCATGACAAACCCTTGGCGCCGTATGCATGGCTTACAGATCTTATTTCTACAATCCCTATATTGAAGGGGAGGCATGAATGTCCTGTACACCGATTGAGAATGACATTGTGTGCCCAGTACACTTGGTCAGGTGCCTGGTGGAAGAAAAGGCAAGCGTGTGGGAAGCCCAGGGTTGTTTACCTGAGCAGTGAGCCTACCTGTGGCTCGTGTCCTCCTAGGGCCTGGCTGGTAAGTGATCTTTGTGAGCTCTCCCACATCTGCTATGTAACCGCATCCCAGAGCTGGGAGGGGAGCTGCATCTTCCATATTAGAGCATTGTCAGTTACAGAGCAGGGGCCTGCTGATCAAATTCCACCGAACCCATGCCTGTGTATCTCCCATGCCCTTGTATAAGGCAGCGGCGGCAGCGCCGTTCCACACCTAGCTAAGGAGAATATTGACCTCCTATCCTGTTTGCCAGCATCTACAATGTCTTAGCTACTTGTAGGAACACACACTCATACACACACACAACACACACGTTCATCTGCACCACCTGGCAGGCAACGTGAAAGTAGGGCAGAAGCCAGGTAAGCTAGTGTGGCAGCAGTTGGGTGAGCGAAGCTGCTGGTGCTAGATCGGAGATGCTGCTCCAGGATTTCCTGGTTCAAACTCCAGCCCAAGCCTGTTGCTTCATGCTCAGCTTAAACCACTACCTTGGATCATGTCTGTACACTTGGACTCTGCTTTTACCTGTGCTCGCCACACCCACACCCACACCCACACCCACACCCACCTGGTGTGAACCTCTGAGCTGACTTCAGCTGCCTGTTGAGACATTGAACCTTTCACTATTGCACAGTGCTTAAGCACACACGTTTCAGCGTCAGACCTGAACTAAGCTTAAAAGTGCGTTCTGCTTGCTGGCCCCATGGCCTTGTGCAGGTTATTCAACCTCTGTTTCCTCATTGTAAAATAGAGCAAAACTTGCCTGACTCACATGGCTGTTGTAAGGGCTAACTGAGGCGCTGTACACAAAGCCTCTTAGCGAAATACTGCCATGGCGTCAACGCTGACTCAGAGCCTGTGGGTTTCTGAGCCTGTCTGTTTACAGGAGTAGAAAGCCCAGTCTTTCTCCCGAGGAGGAGCTGCTGGTGGTCTTGATCTGCCAACCGTGTGGATCACAGCCCAACTCAGAACCACTACACCACCAGGGCTATACCAGCTACTGAATGTATTAGTATTGCTGTGGTCCTGTTTGAATTGCCCTCGTCTCTCCCAAGTCTGACTGAAACTCTGAACTCTGACCTTGACTTTGCTGTAGTACAAGATCCATTCCTAAATGTGCCTTTAAATGGAATTTGGAGATAAGTTGGAGCAGATGCATACATTCTTATTTAGACTTAGTTTAGAGCAAGAAAGGCAGTGTTTTGAACCGGTTCACTCCAGTTCAACTGCCTGCTGATAATTTGCCTTTCCACCCTAATCATACTGAATCAGAATCGACAGTTTAACAAGATCCCCACGTGATTTTTATAGATTCCCCAGAGGGGATCTATACAGATTCTGATTCAGTATATCTGGGGGTGAAAATACAAATTCTCAGCAGGGAGTCCAACTGGAATAAATCCGTTCCAAGACCCGAAAAAGCCTAAGCCTTTCTCAAGGGTTCAAAGCTGCACAC